TTGAGATGGCCTTTTACTGGGAAGGTCATGCTTTGGTTGCCTTTTATTGGGAAGGTTGTGCAGTTGAGATGGCCTTTTACTGGGAAGGTCATGCTCTAATTGTCTTCTGCTGGGAAGATTTTGATTCTGGGTGGTATTCTATTGGGAAGGTCTTGTTTCTTGGTGGTATTCTACTCGGAAGGTCTTGAATCTGGGTGGTATTCTACTGGGAAGGTTTTGTTTCTGGGTGGTCTTCTGTTGGAAAGGTCTTGCTTTTGAATGGTGTGTATAATGCAATGAGTTGTGAAATCTGAGTTTTGATGAGAAATCGTTGTTATCGCATCCTTGTGATGTGATGACCTTGAGTTATCGCATCTGTGTGATGCGAGGACTTGGGGTTGTCGTATCCTATTGATGTGATAAGTTGTGGTTTTGATAGTGATCGGTTGTTGAGGAACTAAAGGAGCTTTGGGTGGTAAGACCAGATGAACTCTGGTTGGCCCTTGCTTCTAAATGGCCTTATTAACCCTACTTTTGGATTGGTTTTTGCTCTATATGATGTAAGTTTTACCCATGAAATATTTTTTAAGTTATTGGGTATTTGAATAACTCTGAACTCAAGATCTACAGATTTTGTCTTCAGAGTTGACACCTTGGCGCTCTTCGAGTCTTCTTTTGAAATAACTCTAAAGTATAACTCTGAAGAATGACCTTTAGACTTGTAACTTTGAAGTGAAACTCTGAAGTATATAACTTTGAAGAATGACTCCTCAGACTTTTTTTTATATCTCTAAAGATAAGTCTGAAGTCTTCCTTTTCAGACTTAGTTTACCTAAAGTTTGAAGTTTCAGTTTCCATACTTCCATGTTTGGCTTGCTTTAATAAAAGTTGTTGTTGTTTTGAGGACCAGAGGGGTTTGGGCGACCAAAGGGCCTCTGGTTGGTCTGGATTTTGAAATGACTTTGCTTTTAGTTGTTCATTTGAACCTTGGAACGCTTGTAAGATGAGCCATAGAACCTTCACATAGATGGGCTAAGCAAGGGACCCAGAGGCACTTTATGTGCTATGCATAGGCTCTGTGTTTGGGAGTTGAGCTCTGTACCCGAGTACTTGGCTTTTTGCGTGCAAGACTTCGATCTTCATATCCTCTATGTCCGAGCTCTTTGTCCGAGCTCTTGGTTTCAGGCAACTTTATGACTAAGTCGTTTTGGGGCTAAATTATATTTAGACTCTGTCTTCATATTTGGTATTTAGCGTCCATATCATAATTCAACTAGAGGGGCTTTGGCCCTGAATGCTTGTGGACCAGAGACTCTGATCTTTAGAACTAGAGGCTCTGGTTGCTTTTCCAGACTTAGTGGGTGGCCTTGTTTTTGGTTGCGAGTCCAGAGGAGCTTTGATTGGTCTTGCTTCCGAGCTTTGATGTGATGAAATGTATTGTGATCGCATCAGTGTGTTGCGATGAGATGAGTTCCTACACCAACGTGTTGCGAGGAAATGGGGTTGACTCACCTAGTGTGTTGTGATCGCACCAGTGTGTTGCGATGAGATAGGTTCATGCACCAGCGTGTTGCGAAATGAGGTTGTCTCACCCAAGGTGGTATGAGGAAATTATGGTTTCTTTTATATGAAGCATCATGTGTTATGCTATAAATAGATATTTTGTGGTTTGATGTAGCAAAAGAGGATCGTGTTGTCAAAACATTATATATTTGTTATTTATTACAAATATGAGTTTTTTAAAAGGGTTTTGATGATATTCATCATGTAATTGTATAAAAGGGATTTCTCACTAGAGCTCAAGATCTAACCCTCATTTTGGTATTTTAAAATGTGCATTACAAGTCAAACAATCAGTTGATTAGGGAAAGGGAAATTATGAAGAAATATATGATTGTCTGCTTATGGATTTTGGGTTTAATGTGCTGTTACTTATACTTGCAAGTTGTTTATGAAGTGCAAGTTTTGTATAGAGATTTTGTGGAAAAATTTGGTAGCTACTTTTATATGTATATATTTGGGATCGAAAGAATATTAGTATTTTTTTATTATATGAAATACATGATTATATGCAAATGTGGACTCTAGGGTGTTACATAAGTTTTCATATTTCATAAAATAAAAAGTTTCAATACGTCCGAAATGTGTATATGAAAATACTATAAAACAACTAAAGGTTTCGTAATTAGGCCTTGTAAGCGATTCAAGCTTTTAACGAGATACTTGAACTTGAGCTTAAAAATTCTCGAGCCGAAGTCAATCTTGAACACAAGTTAAAGATCACTTAACTTAACGAGTCGAGCTCCATAATACAAATGTTTAACTCTAACCGCTCGATTAAACTTTACAGTCGAGTCGAGTCGACCCGAACCATTGGAGCATACACTTTTTTCAAGGCAAACATATTTACATAATTAAAAACTATATAATCAAAATATAAAAATCCTCAAGCTTGGGCAAATAGACAAGTTAATCGTTCTCAAGTTCGAGCTCGTAAATCGAGCTCAAACTTGACCTAATTTTGAAAAAGTTACTTGAGTTCAAACCAAGCTTGAGCCTGATATTTTTTTCGAGCCGAGATCGAATAACACGCCACTCGGCTCGACTCCTTTTACAACCTACTCATAAATAATAAAATACAGTAAAATTCAAAATAAGTTCGACGATAACGTGTGACAAAAGATTAAAAAGATAACTCAAATAATGAATTTGTATCATAAAATCTAAAAGAAAATTCAAAAAATTAATAAATAATCAATAATGTATAAGTTACTTTGGGTTAATTCATGATAATGCATATAATATATATATATATATATATATATATATATATATATAAAGGTGTGCTATGGTTTCATGATTTAAAACAACAAACCATACCGTAAAGTGTACTTTGATAGAACGCAAATCAGCCATGTGATTAAAATTCTAAATCAGGTGTTGCGATGTCTACATTGTGATACGGTGTGGGCAGATTGAGTGTGCAATTTAACGATTTAGATAACACCCATAACTATCATCGAACTTGTACCATTTTTCGTAAACAAATTCCGTTTTTTAATTATTAAAAAGTATTTTAGATATCCGATTAATCTTCAAGGTATTTTTAATCCCTTCATTTTTTTTAAAATCAATGTGTACTTGACATTTTAAATATGGGTTAAATGTATGAAATGACAAACTATTTTAATAAAAAAATTTATTATAACATTGTACCTTCTTTTTTTTCTTATTACAACAATATGTTTTCGAATTTTTTTTTATTAAAACATTGTACTTAATTTGAAAGTTTTGCGCATTATAACAATGGGTAAATTTTTGATTTGAATTATGATGACAAGTAAAAAATTACCAGATTGTCATGCCTTGTCATTATCCACATAGAACGTGCACATATAATATATTGCTAACGTGGTATTTATTATTATAACATTGTATTTTCATTACATATTATATAGTAAATATGTTAAATTATTTAAAAAATATAAATTATTAATTAATATAACAATATTAAAAGAACTTGTAGATCAAAATCTATCTTGCTAACATTTTAGATAAGTTGTTTAAAAAATGTTTTTTTTAAACGAGAAAAAAAAAAGTATTATGTTTTTCTACGATCACACTATTTATTTTGAAAAGAATATATATCATACTTGTATTAAAAAATTTGACTTGAAATATTATTTAATAAATATATTAACTCAATTAAAATTTTGTAAATTATTCATTTATGTAATAATATTAATAAAATTATTAAAGCACAATTTACATCGTTAATATTTTAAAAAAATCTAAAAATGTTTTTTTGGAACAAGAAAAATAAGAAATGTTACGTTTCTTACAAACAAAATATTTATCTTGAAAAATTATATCATATTTGATATTAAAAAAAGATGTTACTTTAAGATATTTAACTTGCAAACAATTTAACAAGAGTGAATTTTTTTAAGGGTTTTTAAAGAGAGGATGAAGAACATATTTTAGGTAGAATATGAATCATTCCGAAGGAAGTGAGAAAATTATTACAAATTTTGAAAAGGGTTTTTTATTTTATTAGAAATACAAGGGGTAGTGCCTGATTGGTTTGAGCTTGGCTCGAAAGGTCAAAAGTACTTCGAGGTCTCAGGTTCAAATCCAAGGAGGAATAAAAATCCCCTTGTGGCCACGGAGGTTCAAATGCGGTGACTCCGGGCTATCTGCAAAGCAGGTGATCGTCCTGAGATTAGTTGGCTCGCATAACGGATTGAATATCCAGGTTAATTAAAAAAAGGTTATTCCGTAAACTTACTAAATATTTTCCTAGTTTAGTGATTGTTAAAAGAAATAGCATGAATTCTTTTTGTTGCCAAAAACGATTAATTTGATGAAAAAGTCATTAGAAAAGACATCAACCATGACTTAATAGAAAAAAGGTATAAATTTGAACATACTTGGAGCAGTCGGTCTTGGGGCTGATCGTATAAGGAAAATTAACACCACACTTTCCGGGAAGTCTGAGGGCGTTATCAGGGTTGATTCCGGCAAAAGCTGAAAGTGCAGTCTTGATGCAACCACAGGCAAGTTTCCGATCGGCGGTTGATTTAGAATCGCTATTGAGTCCCCTAACAGCATTGCAACAAACCGCAGGCACGGAACCACCTCTTCTCAGGTAGTCCAGGCATGGCTTCATCTTGTCAAACACTTGACCACAACTAGTGATAGCAGCCTCTGCATAAGGTGCTGCCACCACCATGCAAGCCACCATAACACATAAAACCTTCTTCATCATCAACATCCCTGCCGCTACTGTTTTTCGTCGATTATTTTTAATCGAAAAATTAGTAAGATGATAAACTTTTGTTGGAACTTCTGCTTTTAGATCTATATGTATATATCTTGGACTTAGTGTACGAAATTGTGATGGAGTTTACCATATATTAATGCATATGCATGTCATAATTAAACGGCATTGTACAATAATTTATATATGTATACATACAAATATATATATATATATATATATATATATATATATATATATAACCTAATCATTATAGGACACATTCGACAAACTATTCTACACACTACAAGAAAAGCCCTCTACGGCAAAGGGCTCTACAGCAATGACAGCCGTCTAGCGACCTATAGCGACGACATTTTGATCTTTAACAACGACTTTTCTCGTTGAAAATATGTTAGTCCTCATTCATTGACAAGGTCCACAAAACAACAACTTCTGTAAATGCATCCAGCTAACTCAAATTTCTGTGTAGACATGACCCATAAGAACCTATGACCGAAACTTAGGTTCGGAGTCTAAGAAGAAAATTGAAGAACGAGTGGCTAGCAACTTGGATGTTGGTTTTATCATTAATCAAAACTTTTGACGGTGATTTTAGTGTTATTAATTATTTTAGTGTAATTGTGATTACTTAAGATCAATTAAGTGACAAAGCAAACATAAAATGAGTTAGGAGGTGTGATGCAACGTATAAAGATAAAAACACAGATTACCTCGTTGATTCTAAGATACGTACCCGTGGCTAATATCTTATAGGATTTGATCATTGATTTGAGGAATACCGAACCTAAGCTTCAAATCCGAATTCACAAGAACTTAAAATTTGGGATAAAAAATCAAAGTTTCTGAAATCCAAGTGTGACCATCCAGATTTCATAAGACAAATATAAATAGGAAGCCCAAAACAAAGCATGCCTGAAAAAGACTATGAACCAAACATAAAATAGCCAAACAAAAATGACAAAAAAGAGAAAAAGAACATGAAAATGTCCAAAAATCAAGTAAGCAGCATTTTCAGGCTTCAAAAGATGGTTAGGCTCCTTTGGACCCTAACCACGGTTTGTTCCTCACTCCAGGCTTCAGATCGACTCGTCGTGGGCCTTAAATGGAGACCTAGAGCGAGAGTTATGGCCTTTTAAGTGCGAGGCCCTGTGGTAGCCTGAGCATGGGCCTCCAAGAACAATAGGGCTCGTTTCTCCTCATCCAGGCCCGTATCAAGGTGCGGAGTACACACTCGCACATGTTGCTTTTATCACATTGGAACGCCATAAGGCGGGGGTCAAAGGGTTGCGCCCCCTTGCGAGATCCAAGGGACAATCCAGAAGTTTGGAAACCTTTTTGAATTAGTTCTTAAACTTAGTATTTTTAAGCATGTATAAATCATAAGGCTCTCACTCAGAGCTTTCGAGCCTTCTACTCAGAGCTTCTAAGTTCTTAGTTTAGAGCTTTTGAGCTCTTAACTATGAGCATCTGAGCCTTTTGAAGTTGATTCTTCTCAACTCGATGCTTCTGAGTCAATTGTTACTGTTGTTCAATCTTATTCGTAAGCAGTGCAATTACACATTAACTATCTAACCACATGTACCTATACATCTCTCTTATAAATATGTAAATGTGGGATCTAGGTGTATATAATTAAGGACTCGATTTTACAACATTAAAATCAAAGTGATCATTTGGATTATCGAATACTAAATTACTGACACCAAAGGCTAATAAGGACGAATTATTGCACTACTAAATATATGACTTTTACCTACAGAAGTTCCCCTGGGATATCCATCGCTAAAACTTCACAACAGCTAGTAAGTAAATTGTTAGTGGGAAACTCAAATCAGTGACAGATTACCCAGTGCCCTAATTTATTTATTTCCTTGAAAAACATCGGATTCTACAGAAATTTCCCTTGGGGATTTTTGTAAAGTCATTTATTTTGTAGTGTTGTATTAGGAAACCGAACAATACACGATCCAAATGATTATTCAATTTGTGTATGATCAACGACCCTCTATTTCTAAGAATCTCTATGAATTGTATTGAGCTTAATCAAATGCATGCTCAAGTATAAATTCCCAAAACTCCAAGTAATAGACTAACCCATATCAATAGACTATCTAACAACTTTTAATTCAACTTAAAAGTAAAATGGAAGTTATTAATAATCCATGATTTAATGTTTTTAAAGAGCTCACATATATCACTCTCTACTTAATTATTTGGGACGAGTTGTTACAAACTCTCCCATTTAATCCTCTTTGCTCATCAGTGATATGGGATTATCGTAAAATGTTAAAAACACCCCTTCTCAGGGACTATCGTCATCATTGAGGTTTTCCCCACCAATCAGTTCTGGTATCATTTGTAACACTGAAAAGCCATGATGGGAGTTGATTTGGATATTATTGTTCCAGCCGATGTTTTGGTTTTTATGTCTTTCACAAATGGTATCAGAGTCAAATTTTCTTCAATCGAGATGGTAGGAAAAAGCTTTTTAAGCGCAATGAGTCTACAAGGAGGTGTTTGTAACATATTAGGCAAATCTCACATTCCTAATTAACAAGAGGGATGATAGGTAGGCCTCATAAACATGTAAAGAATTTAAGTATTGGAGTTTGTGACAACATTTCCTAGACTGTTAGAAAATTAATCTTGTGAATTTTTTATAAGCCGGCGACCAATAACTTACATTACAAGTTTAAGTTGATTTAAAAGCAACCTAGCAACCTATTGGTCTGGTTTGTTGGGTCATTTTACATAAAACTTAACACATAAAAATTAAATTAAAGAAATTAATTTATATAAAATAACCAATTCTTATGTTATGTTGTTTATATATATATATATATATATATATATATATATATATATAGGGGCTGGTTCAAATACTAACCCAATATTTTGTGCAAACTATGCTAACCCATCTTAATCGTTATTTTCTAATCTAACGGTTATTATTAAATGAGATTAAATAAACAATAATTTWATTAATATATTAATTAATATGTATATGAACAATTGTTCAAAGGATAAATTGGTCAAAAATTTGTATTAATTAATATGTGTATGAACAATCGTTCATCTTCGTGCCTATATCAAGGTATGAACATTCATGTG